CATTAATTAGATTTTACAAATTTTTCATTAGAGACAACTAAAAATTTTATTTTTTGGTGTATCTACATTTTTGCACCAGATCATATCAATTTTTTGTATCAGATTAATAAAATAATTATTTTTTTAAAAAATTTATATAAGTAATTTTTTTCATATTTAATTTTATATATAAAATAATATTATTAAAGATAATTATTTATAGTTAAATAATTATACTTAAAAGTTAATAAATTCTTTTTTAATTTTTTCAATTTCAAGTTATTTAAACTTTATGATAACTAAATTAATTTTTTTAATTAAAGTATTTTTATTTTCAATAAGTTAAAAATTTTTTTTATAAATTTCTCAAAAGAAAAAAATTCTTGATCAGATTATAAAATAATTTGATTTTAATTAAATTAAATAATTTTCTAATTCTTAAAATTTATTTTTAATAAAAGAAATTGCTAATCTTTTTATATATTCATTTTTTATTAATTCAAGAAGTTAAAAACTAAATATGACTTGAAAAGATCAATATTAATAAACTTTGAATAAGATAACTTTACTAATTCATTAATTTTTTTATAAATTCTTTAAGCTCTTTATAATTAATAAACTAAGTATAAGAATTAATAATATAACAGCTATATTATTAATATTTGATAAATTAGCTAAAGCAAAAGATTTTAATTCAATTTATTATAAGATATAATATATTAGAACAGACAATCAAAATTTGAGATATCAAATTTTTACAAATTTTTTACTATCTAAAAAAGAAAGTTTCAGATATAAGAAATCAGGTTTTTGTCTTGTATTAATATCAAGTACTGGATGAAGAGACTTATTTTCATCAATATATTTATATGTATTTGGCATTTTATAAATTTCATTGGGATACTTAAACATTATATAATCTTTTTCTGCTATCTGAATTATATATTGAGAACAAATCTCTTCGGAATGATATGCCTCTAAAATACTCTCTATGCCAGATTGGGGGAGTGGTTAAAGCGTAGTCCATCATGTGATCCATGTCCAATAGGATGCGCAAATTTTTTGATCAATCCGGCAAAATAAATTCGACAAGATATGAAAAAATGAATATTACTCTAAAACCAATGCCTAAATCTGTCTTGGAACATTAATTAAAATTGTCGGGACTGCAATTTTACATATAATCTTGTCCTCCGCCTTAACCATTACCCTTACCCAGACCTTATAAATCATAAAAATCATTAATAGTAAACTCTGAAAATTTAAGGGGATTGATCACATGATGGACTACGCTTTAATCGTTCTCCAGATTTGTAATCAAAGATTTTTTAAATCCTTATATTCAGACATTTTATTAATTAGTATATGCTGTATTATTTGTAATGTTTTTTCTAACTATAATAATTAGTAAAAAAATCTTTAAATTAAAATTAATTATTCACTGAAATATTATAAATTTGATTTCCGAAACTATTTTATACAAACTTTAATGACATTTTATTATTGCCCATATATTCTTAGAGCTGGAATACTATGTTCATTTGAAATCTCCAGTACGTATTTCTTGTAGAGATTGTGGCAAGCTAATTTTTTCTGTATATAATGCATATGATAAACATCTAGGTAATATCAGAGTAGAGAGAATTATTACAGAAAATGTAAATTGCGTGAAACCTTGATATACTTGAAAAAAATACTGTTGACATGTCTGATTTTGTGCAAGAACTATAGTAAGTGAACGAGCAAAAAAAACATGTGCGCGTTCCGTTTTGGAATGCTGATCACTTTGTCAGGAAAAATTATACCTCTAATGATGCCTTGAATCACGCCTCGAATCATGTATTGACTCACCAACCATGAGAGCAACGAATTGGCAAAAATTTTTATGCTTACATATTGCTGTTCCAAAATATGTAACTAATTGCTGTCCATTTGAGGTATTGTTCGCGGAACGAATTCCAGATAAATAACATGCTTCCTTTTTCCTGATTTTATCTGATATATATAAACTGACCACGAGAGTAACGAGTTGTCGGAGGATAATTAATTTCAATTTGAAAAAATATTTTCCAAAGTATAAATAAGTATAGTTATAATCCACACAACTATTCCATAAATAACATGTTAAGAATTGCTACATATTTCGCAAATCAATATAAACTAACCCCTCAAATGTAAAGATGAAGGGATTTGAATGTCCAGACTTCTTTTCTCTAGAAAAAGTTCAAGAGCGGTTAGAAAAATGTAATAAAGTTAATTCTCCTTCAATGCAGAATTTTATAGATATAACGATAATGTTAAGTATGAGACCAGCAGGTGTAGCAAATCTTCGAATCAATTATTATGCTGCAAATAATAAAGATTAATTCTTGGTAATTTACTGTATATGCTAAGCATTTGTATCTATGGAAAAGAATCGAATACGATAACTGGATTCAAAAATCAATTCCGAAAAAATTCCCATTCCTAATAAAAGATAATGATGTAAATGTTCATCCGATTAATACTTCTTACTCCTTACGGTATTTACTCATCACATTTAAGGAAAATAGCTATTACAATTCACGAAGGTAAAAATGCTTCCCAATGTAAATGTCTTCGTGAAGACATAAAATAATTCAGAAACATCAGACCATTATGGTATAATGAATATGCAGTAATTGAAGTCAGTATTATAATTACTAATTAACCTTTACTCACCTTCTTTCTTGGTCTGGATCATATTCATTATCGTTATCTGTCTCGGACTCTGTTTCAGATGATTCAGAAGAATCGCTAAAACACACGATATTTTACACCTTCACTTTTGTGAATGTGTGGCTTTGTTATCGAGTTTATAATATCTTGTTTGACCAACAATATTAAAAACTGCAACATCGGTGTCTTTGGATGAACTTTTATTTATTTTCAAACCTATCTCTTTTGCTTTTTCATGAGTCATAGTTGGATATCGTGCACCTAAATCATAATGCATTCTTGTCTTTGCCATTGACATTAACCAAATGTTGTTTAAAATTCTTCTACTGGTTCGACATTGTCATGATCAGTGTTGTTAATGGAGCACTCCATTAACAATCCTAATCACTATCCTCTGCCATTGTTTCCAATTTTTTTTCGTGATTCTTGATGAATCGATGAGTCTTTGACTCGAAGATTTGTTTCCTCAGTGTTACTATTATTTTCAATCATTGAGATTTAAATTATTTTTATGTGTTTGACACTAGCTTCGTTATTAATATATCGCAAAAATTACAGAATTAAATATATTAGTATATTTCTGAAAGCATAATAATGAGATATTGAAAAAATATAATATGAGAGATACAAGATATAGTGTAGAATATAATTTATATTACATGATATATGTAAAATGCGAAATTCATGAAGAGCCCTATCCAATTAAGGTGTTAATTGATACATCATCAGTTAAAAAATTTATTAGCAAGATAAACTTGGAATAAAATATATCGAACCGCAAAAATATATTAAAAAGAGAATGAAAGATGCTGTAGGTATTTGTAGAATGTCTCGATTTATCTTTCCGATTTAAGGGGAAAATAGAATGGTATCTGATAGTGAGGATGTTTTAAATGATTTCGTGATCATTAAAGAATCTAAAAATGAACTTGTATTAGGATTACAGTCCACCCTCGTTAATATGGCATCATCGGTACGGAGGTTTTGGTCATAATAATGAGATGTCATAATAAACATCAAGTCAAATTTATTATAGTAATTATATATAAGCATAATAACTAAATAGATTTTATATAGGTATCGAGAGTTTGCTGGGTTTTTCTAGCAATATACATTATATTGAGTTCATGAGTAAGCTGTTGAAGAACGGCAAGTTGATCTTGGGTAGATAAGGAAGAATCTTCTTGCTAAAGAAAAAGAAAAATATTATTAACAGAAGAAAGAGTGACTGAAATTGATATTTTGGGAGGTGCTGGTCCATCTTCATCATTATTTTCAATATTGTCCTCTTGTTGCTGAATAATGCTAACGATTTCTTCAATACTCAATATATAGTGAATAGCATCATTTTCGGTAGAAATGTCAGCGTATTCTTGAGGATTAGCAACTTTGTAATTTATCAAAGACCTGAGAATATTCAAAGCTGAGCTCAATTGCAATTCTTCATCTTGAATATCTGTATTAACAATATGTGTAGCAGTGATTATATCATTGGTATTTACAATGCCCATTTTCTTCTAGCAATTTGAAATTGTTGTAGTGATAATGGTATTCTAGGCAGTAGCAATATTATACACGGCATTTAACAGATTTGAAGGTGTGTTTAGAGTGTTATTCTCATATTATTGAAGAAGTCAACGAATATGAAGATTGCAATATTGAACTTTGAATGATTTTATTATGCCAGCATCTATTGGTTGTAAGTGACTGGTAGTGTTAGATGGAAGAAATTTAATGGTTGTATTTGTAAGTGTGAGGCTATCGATATGTCCAGGTGCATTATTAAGGAGAAGAAGAATGTTGCGATTTTGAACATGCATCTGAGTATCTAATTTGACTCAAATAATATACCCGTCATCCAAGCTTTTTTGTTGAAAGTATAATCAACTGGTAAATTATTGATGTTGATTCCGCGAAATGATTGTGATATCTTGGCATGACCAATAACTAGTGGATGAAGTTTTTCAGTACCTGAAAAATTGCAGCAAAGCATAATAGTAATCTGATCCTTTATTATTTTTTTGCCAGCATGAGATGCAGCAGCAAGTGTCTTGTCTGGTAATATTTTCCAAAAAAGACCAGTTTTATTAGCATTGAAAATATCATCAGGTAAGTATGTTAAGAGGAGTTCTTGAAGAGTGATGCGAGCTTCAGGAAGAGTGTCAAGCGGTGCATTATCTGCCTCACCATGCAATTTGATTTGATGTATATCATATCATGTCTCGAACCGGAATAACCATCCATTTGATTTCTTGAAAACTTCATTACTCACACTTAACTGCATAGCAATAAGACCTGCTTTTTCCAATAAGATAGCATCAGTGAGAAAGACTTTGGCATGCATAACTCCAAGACACCAGGTCTACAATCCTTCTTTTACTTGAGAAAATTTTGGTACGTGTTCACAGCTACGATTATTTATTCCATTTAAACTATAATTTATCTACTTGTCTTGTTGTTTAAGAAATGTAGTAATAAAGGTATGCATCTTCTGGAACTTGTAAGCAATGGCCTGGTGAGTCCATTTTGGGTCTCTTGTAACAGTCTTTGCAAACTCGCATATTTCTTTTTTTCAGCATATGAAGTATCTTGTCGGCGCCATTTTTTCTGAGGTTAGAAGATTCTCTGATGGGAAGTTCAAAGAGGGTGGAATGGATGGAAAAATGGATGAGGGAAATGGATGAGATGTAAATAGCCAGGGGCCTTGGTTTATGATCACCAAATTTTATATATCACGTACCCTCTTTATTATGACATCATATAGATATTTTGGTCATAGTCATAATAACGGTTACTATGACATGTCATAATAACGAGTGCAAAAAGAGCTTTCATTATTTGGATTGGACAGTTTGGTCATACTAACGCGGTTGTCATATTAATGGGTGTCATATTAACAAGGGTGGACTGTACCATGGTTATGGTTACGTGAATCACAATTTTATAGAATTGGACAACGTCAGTTTGAATGTCGTTATTTTTTATCATGTAATGTGTGTGTTACTTTTGCATGTGATGGATATATCGATTTCTATGTGGATGAGTTAAACTGGGCGATCAAAATCTTAGAGAAGGGAAAAATATGGCTGTACATAATAGAAGCTTGAACCTGCGGGAGAATATAAAGAGATTGTTAAATATGCAAAGAGTATAGCTATTATTGATTTTCGCAGTGAATCAAAAAAGGTGCAGAATGATTTTATATAATTATTTAATTTACTTTCTTAAGTATGATAACTATAAAGAGATTTAATTATAATAATATTATAATATCATTAATATAAGTAAATTATATATTTTAATTAGTAATTATATAATAATTTATACAAGATTAAATATTTCTAAAAGAAGAAAAGTAGTTAAAAATACTGCTTATATTTTAAATAGAACTTATTTTACTTATAATTTTTAATTAAAAAAAGTCAAAATAATGATAGAATTCTTTAACTAAAAACTTTATTTATAAAATTTAAATGATATTATTATTATTTTTATAGTATATTTATTATTAAGATTATGATTTTGATTTTAATTAATTTCTTAATTATGAATTTTCTTATTAAAAATATTTATTATTTCTATTAGATATTAATATTTAAATTAATTATTAAGCTTTATTAACTTTTTACGAATATTAATATTTTTTAAAAAAATATGTTAGAAAATTTAAATAGATATTTTATTATATTTTTAGAAATAGATAAATTTTCGATTATATTAAATTATTCGATATATAAATTTTTATTAAAAAAAAATAAAAATAAAAAAGTGAAATATATAATAATACTAAGAGAAAAATAAAATTAAAAAAGTAAAATATATAATAATATTAGAAAAAAGTAAAAAATAAAAGAGTAAAATATAATAATACTAGAAAAAAATAAAAATAAAAGAATAAAATATATAATACCAGAAGAAAGATAAAAATAAAAGAATAAAATATATAGTAATATTAGAAAAAAGTAAAAATAAAAGAGTAAAATATATAATAATATTAAAAGAAAAGTAAAAATAAAAAAGTAAATAGAATATATTTTTTTCTTTATAGTGAGAATATTAAAAAGTTATTATTAAATTAGAATTATTACAGATAATAATTTTAACAAGTTGATATAATATTTATATTCTTAAAAAATAAATAGTTAAAAAGCGCATCAATCACTATCCTCACCACGTTTTTTACAAAATTTCATAAAGCTTTAAAAAGTTCAGAACATAAAATAATGTTTCATCAAATATTGTTTCGATGATTTATTTTCGATAGACCTTTTATTATACAAGCGCATTAGCGTGGTGGCACAGTAAATCCCGAAATCGCTTTTTTGTTCAACTGTATTTTGCAGTTTGAGGAATAATAAGCTTGTGTTAACACTATTTGTTGGCTTTTGCTTCTAGATTGAAAAATTTTCATAATTATTTATCTATTTAAAAAAATATGAGGAATGAACTTTTCACACTGTTCCTTTTCTAAAATATTTCTGATGGTTCTGTAATTTTTAGCTTTTAATTTAATATTTATATTTTTAGAGATAATTATATTTATTACATGTACGTGTATTATTATATACAATATTGCTTTTTTTTCTGTGGCAAGACTTATGAGCAGAATTTTGCAATTAAAGTTTGTTGACGCTTACACCAGCACTGGAATCTTTATGCAAATACGTACGTACTGCACAATTTTAGACAATTCAAAAATATTATTCCTGAAATATTGAAGTGATTACATGATTGAATGCTACACGAAATACATTTATTTAGACAATGAAATTTATAATATAAAAAAATCCATTCAAAAGAAATTCATGCAAAATGTTCGGGATCTGATTCTTCATCTTCGCTGACATTTGCTGTTTCCAAGTCAATCCTTTCATTAATTTTCGTGAAGAAACCTCTGGCATAAGCTTCAGGATCAACTCTAATAACTGTTTCCTCATCTTCGAAAACCTCTAATTTATGCATTTCGCCCATCAAATGACTCTTCACTTCATCATAATTCCATAATTTTGTTTCATTTTCCTTCGCTTTTCCGACAATTTTTTCCTTCTCGTTCAATTTTGCTTCTTTCCCTTCTTCCAACGTTTTTTGGTTCTCTTTTTCTTTCAAGTCCAAACTTTTTTTATTTTCATAACAAATACGACACTGGAATATCTCGAGATCTGTCATCAAGAGTAGCACAACCTCTTTAACAGTCAGAAATAACGCAGGTTCTTCTTGAATTATAACCGCTTCACGTTTCAATCGAGGTAATAACCTGTTGAAGATGAATTTTTCATCATATTCTGCTAAAGGATTATCGTTTATCTTAGGCAGATTTCGAAAAGAAGGACATTGCGAAAGAAGAAATTCCCTGGGCTCATAGGAAAATGAAGAAAATTCCGGGATTAAATGATTTGTTACCGGGTCTTGTGAGATATCTGTTGTTGTTATTGTTTGAATTAACGGTGGATAAGTCTGCTCTAGCACTGCAACCATGAATGGTTTAGTGTCAGGTTTCTTTGTAAATGACTCGAGAGTAAGTTTTGCAGCAATCTCAGAATTTGACGGAAAATAAGGAATTGGCCAAAGTAATCGAACCCATGCAATTATTTGGAGACGCTTTTTAAGGTAGCTTTCTTCAATTAGTCCCTGATCCGAGAATGAGGATGTTGATGTAAAAGGAGATGCAGGTGTTTGAGGAAATTCAATAGGTGTTGATGCTTGAGAATTTTCACGAAATGTTGTTGAAAGTTGCGAAGGATTTGTTGATGTTGGATCTGCTGTGTTGTTGCTTTTATCATTTTCTACGTTTGTACTTATGTCGTTCTCAATTGAAGTCAATTCTCTTTTTTCCCCGTCAGCAATTTCATATTTTTCATCATTAATCAATGATCTCTTTGACTCATCGCCAAAATTATCTTCTATTTCCGCAATCTCACCTATTTCACCATCATTTATAGCTTCGATCGTTTCTTTTCGTTTTTCTTTTTCTAGTTGCTTTTGTTTTTTCTTATTAAGACTGTCGATTGTGATAATCGGATCTTCGTCATCCGATTCTTCGGAAGATGACGACGACGATGATGAAGATGAAGATGATACAAACTGTTTATTATTGTTGTTGGTGCTACCTTTGTTAATTGTATTTTGTAGATTATTCCACGAAGTTTCTGCAACAGTTGTCGGCATGGTTATGACAGTGGCGGTATTTGAAGCTGTCGATGTCGATTGTGATGACATTTTTATCTTTATACAAGAAATTTTATCACAGGCGGAAATAAAGTAATTTGTTTATTAGATTTAAACGTTTAGTAATTTATCGTAATCTGCTATTATCGTTATTTGCTCGTGTATTTGTTTAATTTATTTTATTCAAAAACTCCTAACTTGAATTTTACGGAATAAAACAAAAAACATTTCAAGTTGGACAATGTACATGTACATGTATTATGATGATCTTTATCGTAATTCAATATTGTGAAAGTTAGTCACATGATAAGGCATTAAAACGTGTGTCGTTGAATGGAAAATCTTGTCCCTTTAGATAATGAAATTGCAGCATAGATCTTTTCAGGTAAATTATAAAAAGCGCAGCCAGCATATTCACCATCATACGAAAATCCAACAGTGCGTTTATTCATATCAAGATGAACTGTAACCACCATTCCTTTGGTTAATTTTTTTCCGTATCTTTCTTTGCCCGGATATTTATGCCCCTCGGAATTCACACACCAGCTTGGAAGAGAATTCGAATCACCTAACGATTGAGTACTATTTCTAGACTGTGTTGACGCAATTCCAATTCGGCCTCTACCGATTTTCTCGACCACAACATTCCACTCGTAGATACCATGCTCCGAAAAAAAATTACTTGAGGTGATGGCGCGAACTGTCGCATCTTTTGGAGCTTCGGCTGTTTGATTATCAACCAGAAATTCGGATGGGTCCCATCGTAGATTGTCTAGTGGTGAGAGTCCACGCGTGGGATTAAATGGGATTACTGCTAATAAATGATATTGATATGCATCAGATAGTACTGCGTCAGGGATAATTCGCATCGGGTGAATTACTTTGGCGATTACCATCCGATCAAAAAGATTTAAATTGATATAAGGTAAAAATGGTTTCAAAATTTCAAGTAGCTGTTGTTGAATATCGTCTATATTCGAATTTCTTGCTCCCCATGGTTGAGGCTGATCTGCATCATAGAATGATAATTCAGCTGTTGAAAAGTAAGATTTAACTGTCTCCAGAGCATTTTCTGATATTTGATTAGCCGCCCATTCAACAACGTACCGGAAAACACGATATTCCGAAGTCGCAAAATACCTTAAGGTTTTTTGTGTTTGAGCCAACAAAATTTGTAAACTAATACTCGAAAATTTACTATACTCTATATTTGCGCTATTCAACGGCGTCGCGCCGATATAACCACACAACAGTTTATACAAATTATTATCAGCTAAAGACAATTTATTAATCGCCTGTTCCAACAACGTCATCAATTCATCAAAACCATCATCCTTGATCAACTCTTCAGCCACCGTGATAATTCTCGCTTCCAAATCACCAAGTAGAAAATAATTTGCTGCGTGAAAAGCATCAACAATTTCATCTTTCTTTAGTAATTCCAATGTTGACTGCACATTTTCACTTGTGTAAATGTATTCCAGGGTTATTTTCATGGCTCCGGTGGAGATTGTCGGGAATTTCAATTCATTACTGGTTGATTCTTTCATCCCATTGTAGAGAAGATTGTAGAAATATTCGGAACGTGCTCCAAGAATTGCTCTTTGTGCGTACAAAACTTCTGAATCATTTGCATTATTATTGTTGCTCAGATTACTAGTTTCAGAGGAAGAATTATTGTCGCCGTCGTCGTCGTCCTTATCAGTGGAAACTTTATTATGATTGTTGAATTTATAGCTTTTGGTACCACATCGTATTGTTAAATCGCTAAACACTGGATTATTCACCAAAGACTTTAAATCATTTGCAAGCGAATATCCTCGCAACATCTTAAAAGATTGCTTGCTTTTTTCGAGTTTTTTATTTGAAACGGATCTGCACACGAATATTACATGCACATATATTTCGAATAATCTGTAGGTTCCACGGGATGCAAAAACCAGTTGTGTGTGCTTATTTTCCGTATATTCTTCGTTCACATATTATTGTAAATACATGTAATGAATAGGCGGAAAAAAGAATGCGTTGCATAATATCCATCATTACGTAAAGAGTGTTGGTTAAGTTTTTCCAACTCTTTAAAAAATCTGCATATTGTAAAAATGTGTTCATGTATGTGCATATAATCATAGTACATGTGCTCATTACACGCACGCAGAAACCAATAACGATGACTCATAATGTGATACAAGCTACCTTTAAAGTAATGTTGATTTATTAAAAATATAAATTACTGTACATGTATTATCGTTATTTTTTTGTCCACAATAAAAGAAAAGAAAATTATTAAGAAGGGTGGTATTATTATAAGGGCTTATTCATGAATGCGAAATACGGTAATTCTCTTAATGTCAAAATTTCCCCTCGAAAATCAATAACTAATAGATCTCAATAATGTTCATGATCAAACAACCGATGTGCGCCAGCTTCTGCCGACAGAATAACAGTCCGTGGATCAATCTCCGGTGGTAATGGGAACTGTTGTAATAATAAATGTGCTTCTTTTGCTGCGGTACTGCGTATGCTATCGATCGTCTCAGAGTGGTGAAAACGATAATACGGAGTTTTTATATGTGCATCGTGGCTCCTTACTGCCTAATATGAAAAAATTTGTTATTTTTTGTTATTATTTGTAAATTCTAGAGCATACACGAATTATTTAGTTGTATTTACTTTGAATGCGGCAGCACCAGCAATCATGGCAGGTGAAATTGGAAATCGTGGATCGGGACCGTATATGTATATTCGATTAAAATATTGTTCCATTTGAGCTATTACATAATGTGATGATGAAATAATAAAAAAATTAACAGGCAAATTTAATACATAACATTCAATAAAACTTATTAACATACCTGGATCAGATCCAAAAGCATTTGGCATGAAAGCATCAAAGCCACGTAGATTTTGTCCGTAGGCTGTTTCGTTATGTTCTAAAATCGTATCAAACAACATTTTCGTAATAATTTTTGATTATAGATTAGATATGAAAGTGTTAGTGTTAAAAAAGATAAGACGCGTTTGTTTTATTCAGTGAGATTTAAAGAGAAAAGTTGCTGCTCTTTTTATATTGAATTCGTAAAAGAATAGTATAGTTATCATCATCCCAAAATATTTTAACGAGAATCAGGGTTCCATCATCGTGAGAAAATAAATAAATACAATAACAATAATAATAATCAATTGCATGGGGGCACTATTATGCCGAAACCCTTTTTTAGTCAATAAATTTTTGGCATACAAACTCGCTGGTTCCCCTCACACACGCCATCCCTAAAGAATCATTCGATCAACTTTTCATTCGCTGAATAATTGAAATTATGATATCATTGTACTATGTATGGCGTGTTTTCCCTCAGGTTCATCCTTAAAAATAGAATTTGATATTGCTACACAGAACTATGGATCGGGTAATGTAAATCGGAAATTACAGAATCGGGTACTTGACGATGTTTTGACGCAAATGAAATGGAATGAAATTTTCCCTTCCCAGGAACAATTAAATAATAACACCAGAAATAACTAGAAATAGTAATTTTTTCGAGGTTATTTATTTTACCCCACAAAAAAATTGTTACGCAAAAACGTCCATTGTTTGTTTTCTTGTGTGAACAATTCGCACGCCCATTCTTCCCAGAAGTATACTGCGTCCGTAAATTTTTTTTTTACTTTGCATTATGACAACGTGAAATTTTATTTATCGACATGTTGCATACGAAAGTGCGATCTCCTAATTCGACTGCTATTTTCCCAGCGACGTCAATAATAGAATAAAAATCGTTAATTGGGCATTTTGATAATCAATTAAAGGTGGTTTGCTATATACACCGTCTGGACAATATTTTTCATAAATCTTTAGAAATGCCGTAATTCCTATTTGAATAAAATTGATAACTTTCACTATAACTGATAATTTTAAGTGAATTTATATATTACCTAAAAGTCCCATCTCTTGAGGTCTTGAAAAAGTTGAATAAGCAGCTCTATTTCTTCAATTTTCTAGTTATTAAGAGATCTAAATTCGATACTCCCGCTATGTATGTAGCACAAATCTTGAAATTCCTTTTTATCTCTCTCGTCACGTTCGTAATGAATGTCTGGTCGGGTGCAATATGAGTGATATATAATTGGACCAGTAAGAATTAAGCATTTGAAAAGGACCTAAAAATAAACAATCCCTCTTAAAATTTGATCCAATTAATGGCATAGTCATAGTTATTTATTTTTGGAACTTTACAGTAACTTTAAATAAAATTTATATAATTAGAACCAGTTAAAATCTGCTTTAGTTAAAAATATATTTATATTTTCTAAATTATTTTTTATTAATAAGTTATAGATCAGTTTGTTTATAAATATTTATTTATTTTATATATTTATTTAATCTTTCAGAACAAGATATTTAAATAATTTGATTTAATCTTGTTTTTTATGTTTAAAATTTTAAGTTCTGAATCTTTTAGATATTATTCAAAATAATTAATTTAAAAAGAATAAAAAAGATTTTTTGAAATTCAAAATAATTTAATAAATAATATCAAAAAATTTAAATAAAGATAAAAATAAGTAACTTTAATAATAATTATTTAAAAATAATTTATATTACTTATTTTAATTAATTTGAATTATTCTTAAATAAATAGTAAATATTTAAATTTTGATTTATAATATTTAAAACAAGTTATATATAATTAATTTTTAATTTTATAGATTAAAAATTTTCTAATATATTTAAATTCTTAATTTATTGATAATAATAATAATTATTTTTAATTTTATTAATTAATAATTATATTTAATTATTATCTAATAAAGTAATATAAATAAATAAGAAAAAAAATTAAAAATTCTTTTCAGTTTAACTTAAACTCTTTAATTTTTATATTAGTTTATTTATATATTATATATATAAATATTAATAACTAATCTAATTAAGATAGTAAATTAAAATATAATTTAAATTAATTCAATAATACAAATTTTTATTTATATAAAATAAATATAAAGTTTAATTTTTTTATTTATATTTAATTTTTTTTATTTTATATTTTTTATTTATAAAAGAAAATATTAATTTATAAAATATTTTTTTAATTAAAAAAAAGAAGTTATATTATATATATTAAAAAACTTTTTATTTATAAATATAATTATATAATAATTTTATATTTATAATTATATTATTATTATATATTATATAATATAGTTAGATTTTTTTATAATTATTATATTTAAAAAAAGCAAATTAGATAATTAAAAAAAGATATAATTATAAAGAAATTTTTTTAATTATAGTTAATTAATAATTAAAAAACTCAAAAAAAAATAATTATAAAAAAAGTAATTTTAAAGAAATTTAATTATATATAATATATTATATATAATAATATTATTATTAAATTAGAATTATTTGCTTATAATAATATTTTTAAGTTAATATAATATTTATATTCTTGAAAAAATAACTTTAATAAAATTTATAGAATATAGAACTAGAAATAATATGTATAATATTATTTATAATAGGTAAAGTAAAATATATAATAATATTTATATTCATATAGAATAAATTTATAATAAAAATAATTACTTAGATTATGATTTATTATTAAAATTTCATGAAAAAAAATATAATAAACTTATTTTTTTATATTATAATATATATTTCTTTTTTAATATATAAGTATTTTTAAATTAGAATCACAAGTGAATATATTATTATATATATATATATATCAAGAAATTTAATTTATAATTATTTTCTAATATATATCTAAATAAAAATTTAATAAAATATGAAAATAATAAATATTATAATTAAAAATAATTTTAATTAAATAATATAGATAAATAATATAATAATTAAAAATAAAATAAAAAATTATAATATAATATTATTATAGTGAATTAGTAAATAGATTTTTACTTGAATTTATCTTAATAATATAGAGTTGAGAGAGACTAAAATAATTAAAGAATAAAGAGAGAGGAATTAAACTATAATTTTCAATATAACAAAGATTTCTAAGATCTATATCAATATCTACAGATACTGTCTTAACAAAGAGATAAAATAAATAATAAAAAAATAAATAAATCAAAGAAATTATAAAAATTAACTAAGTAAAGTTACTAGTAATTAATACAATTCAAGATTTGAATTGATTAA